TCGACCACTTTGTATCATTTGATGGTCACAGTGTCTGCCTTCACACAAAGATAACTCTCCCCTATTATTAACTTAAACACAATACTCTACTGACATTTTTTAACTAAGGGCAAATCTGTATGTTTTTATGTCCAAAAGCACAAACATGAAATTTTAGATGTTGACCTTTTGCCAGACACAGAAATGTAGCTTGAAAGCACAGAATTATTATTAGCACATTTATTCACACAACTCCAGCGAGAAACCCAGCAACCTCCTTCAGCCCCACCTGCTGTTGCTCACATCGATCTGCCATCCATGAGAAGCACGGCCCTGGCAACAAACACGGAGATAGAGAGGGTAAGACAGAGCTGCTTTGGGAACTAAAATTTTGAATGAGTGCAATTGTAGCAGGGAAGGTGAAATTTTTTCCCCTCCTCCATTGTTAAAAGGGTTATCAAAGACATAACAAATGTTCATCAAATGGGTCTTAAGGTTCTGCTGTTTTTCTCTCCCTGCATGTCAGCTCATGTGTGTTCCTGAGGAGCGATAAAACAGTCTCAACAGCAACATCAAGCAAACAAGGCTGGGGAGAAGCAGGACAAAAGCTTGGTAACTATCAACATAGCAAAAATGTCTTCATTAGCACATTGGAGTTGTTGTTCTTATTTGTGTGAGGTTGCACAACCTCATATTCTCACTCACAAACATGAGAGTGGCGAGACAAGTTTTATTTCAGATAAGACCAGCACTGTTTGATCTCCAGCAGCAGGGGATCTCCAAAATTCCTAGCAACAGCCGCAAATCCACAGCAGAAGCAGCAGCAAGAATGTTAAGGCCAGCTTTCAGAGTAGCCATGGTCAACTCACATCTCCGAAGGCGTATTTCTGGCCTTTACTTTTTGCAGGAAAAAACCAAACAAGTATCTCCTGGGGTCACTACCATATGTCAGGCAAACCAGCGAAGCAGTCTAATCCAGCAGTGTGTTTTTCTTGTTTTACTGAAGGTAAGCTGAAAGGGTTATAACCCACTGCTACAACTGCAGAATGCCAGCTCTTCATCAGGTCTGCTTTACGGATAACTCATCTTGCATCTCCGAAGGGCTCTGCTTTTAGGAACCCAATGTACAGGAGGAGCTTTTCCTATATACACAGAATTTTTTTTCTTTTTATTCTCCCCCTCTCCAATTCAAATGTTGTTCTCCATTTTTGCATTTCATTTCAGTTTTCGTTTCCCCTGCTCTCGGACAGCATGATTAGATTGCACTAATTACCTAAGCCTAAGTCAGGGCGTTGTGTCACCGGCCCCTGGGCTGGGGTGAGGAATGAGTTTTTTTGACAGGCCACCTGCAATGACATCAACAGGTGGCTGACAGGATCAATTGCCAAGTTTGCCTTGGAAACCTGCCCTGCAGTTTCACTGTCAGAGAAAACACATTCTTCTCCTCCACCATTTATCTGCCCTGAAGTTAACAGAGATACACCAACACGTGCCAGCAGAAGATCTTGCCTGCCTCTGAAAGTAGGAATGGGAGCAAGCAATTAAAACACCAGGGATCAACTTTCCCGGGATTTAGTCTCAATTGCTATTATTTCACTACGTAACCTGTGTGCACTTCAACATCCTTTCCCACAACTATCGCTACAACATCACCTGCCTACTTCACAGGAGCAATGGGTTGCTTCGCTAAATAGCTACATGGCAACCGACACTTCTGGCAGAGAAGCAGCGCGTGGAAACGCATCGTTACGTTGGTGGAATGGTAATTTCGAGTGCAGACTGACAAGATCACTTTTGTTTAGCAAACAGTTACACTCATTCACCGGAGATCAAACAGACCTACATTGTAATTTGGCACAAGCTTTAGAAGCGAGCTGGAATGATGGATGAGCCATCACCCACGTGCCTCAGATGGAGCCGGTACGGGGCAACGCTACTCTCCCTCTCCTACCTCCCAGGAGCTCCCGGGTGGCAGTAGCAGCAGTCCGTGTCCTTATTGACTCCATTTTCTTATTAATTCCCTTATTGATTTGCTCACCGCGCACTAGGCAGATACGATATTTTTATCTCCCGTACTCCTGACAGTGCTGCCGCTGGATTCCGAAGCCTCTTGAGTAGCTTGCATTTTCTGTAATTTGGCGAGCGTGGATCCACCCGGACCCACCTGGAGAGCAGACACCTGGTGAGGGGTACCTGGGGGAAATCAGGGAAGCTCGTTGCGTTACCACCTGAGCTGCTGGTCTGCCTGCTCCCTGATGAGGAAATTCACGGAGTGAGTGATGCTTCAGCCTCCCAGCTGTTCTTCCATTTTCAAGTCAGGCCAATGGCCAAAAATACCCTGAACCACTAAAATCCGGTCAGGATATTACAGCTACTACTTCCTTCTCTCTAATTGTAGAGTAATTGGTCTACAATCAGAGCAGCGATTGCAAAGCTGGAGTCTGTGAGGATGGGTAAATACTTGGACATAAAATCTGTTCTTATCTGCAATACCCATCTAGGGTCTTGCACTATAGCCACCATCATGTTGCCTGTCCCACATCCATCACCTTCCCCACCGCTTCAACACAGCCACCATGCGGAGGCACCTAGCGGAGGCTGCACGGCCTACACCCGGGCATTTCAGAAGGGGTATGTCTGAGGGGAAAACACGGAATGTAACTCTCAACAGGAGAACACACTACACTTTCTACTTACATGGTTTTATTGCTTATTACGCAGGCCCCAAATAATTTCCCTGTGACAGAGGTGGGAAGAAGGGGTAAAAATAATGAAAGCGTAAGTGCAGAGAGACGAGGCGGTGGGACCAAGTCACGCAGCTTCCCAGTGACGGCGCCAGCAACAGACTCCCAACTCCTGGTCTGCACTGCCGGGTCAGATAGCGAACGCACAAGGTGGGGATAGGGGCTCACTTTTCAGAAGTGCGAACTAATCCTGAAATTACTGAAGCAACTGGAGCAGTAGCACCGGTGCCACTGAGACACCGAGCACCTACAGAAGAGCACGGCTGGTTCTGTGTGACTCCAAGCCCCGACAAAGGCTTTGGATGCTCTATAAACAATACCATCAGCACAAACCGTGGTATCTAATAAAGTTGAGGAAATGTTTGCAATCAGTTCTCAAAACAGACTCTTTCATAATTGAAATACTGCAGAGCAGAAGACAGCATTATAATTACAATAAACGGGTGCTGCTGAGTTAGAGAAGAGCAATATCTTTTGTCAGCAAATCCCATTTACACAAGCAGAGGCAATGTCGGTAAGAGCAGTTATGTTACTCTGTGCACTAACACGTTCACTGCAGGGCTTGGATGATTTTTGTCAGTCCCTCTTCTTTTTAACTTGCAATGGGCTTTTCTGGTAAGTTGGAGAAAGTTCAGAGACTAGCTACAAGAACGACTGCAGGACTGCAAAAACTCACATAACACTGAAAACACCAGCAGCTACATCAGTGGGTTGTATCAAGCAGCAGGTTAAGGGAGGAGTTGATCACTCTATGGAAAACAGACTTCTGGTAATGGGATCTTCAGCGTGGCATCAAAGGTATAAACAAATCCCATGACTGGAAGCTGACGTTAAACAAATCAGACTAAAAATAAAGGAGGACATTTTCAACAGCCACAGTAATTAACCTTCAGTACGATTTATTGATGGTTGTGCTGGATTTTCCATTCCTGGAAACACTAAAAAATAGGATGGAGGTTTTTCTACATTACTTCCTAAGCGCCCAGCAGGGTAAAACAGAACAGGATGCTGCTCAAAAAAGCCAAAAATCACCTTCACCCAGGTTCAGGCCCTCCTCGGTGACAATGAACTCCTGTCCTCCCAGCTTAACTGGGGTGGGCTAGGAGCCCTTGGAGGGCCATTGGTATAACCCTGTCAGCTGGCCAGAAGACAAAACATAGATGTAATTTCTGGAGTTTCCTGCCACACCACGTGTCAGGAAAGAACATTTCTTACACCTCCTGACACGTCCTATGGAGCTGAGCTCTGCCCTTGCTGTCCATCAGAGCCGCTCTTCACTTTGTCTGTCCTCCCCACATACGCTTTTATTCCCAAAGACATTATCTGCACCCGCCATGTAGGCTTTCCCTTGCCACTCCCCCCACCTTTTCCCTGCACTCATTCCCCTGAGGGGCTTGCCCCTTCTCCTGAGCCCCCAGGACCAGAGGGGAGAGGTTTGGGGAACTGGGGTGACCTGCTTGCTGCACTGAGCGCTGCCTGGGCAGCGGGGAGCAGCCGAGGCCCCAGCTGAGCTGCACTAACAGGACCGGCAGGAGCGGCGAGCGGAGGGATGCTGCGAGGGATCCTGCTCGCAGGGTGTGACCTCATCCGCATGTGGTTGGGAGGGTCCTTCAGACACCACAGGAGATGTCCCATATTACAGCCCAACCCTGGGCCCGGATTTACCGTGCCTCTATGGGCAAGGCAATTCACGCTCCTGCTTCAGCTTCCCCCTTTACAGAACCACAGTAATGATATTCACCCTGTTACTGCACAGGAGCATTTTCAGGATCAATTAGTTTAGTGTTCATGCAAAGCTCTGTGGACAGAAGCCTCAATACAAGTAGTAAGTACTATTATTACTACTGCACTTCAGATGGCTACAGTACTGGCATTTTCCAGGCACGCACCATTAACAATTTACTAAGATAAATGGCCCAGGAACCTCAAAATGCATTTATGACAACTACCTCCTGCTTACCAGCATACATTCAGCTGAGTAAATGACACCTCATTGCTCAATGTGTAGCTATGGTAACATTTCTATCTCACATATTGAAGTGTGCGTGCGCGCACATACACGCACACACGTGTAGCTGGAGGGAAGCCAGGCTACCTCATTTAATGACATGCAAACACCGAGCCCAGGAACTTTCCCAACCTCCGAAAGCTGAGCTGCCCGCAGGAGCCGGGGATAAAGAGCAGGCAATTCGCCCCATGCCCGGCAGGGAAGGGCTGGGAGCTGACAGCAGGCTGCAGTGCACAGCTGGAGCCCCACCGGGCCCTCAAGGGACTTACTTGAGAGCAGTTTTGTAGTGGTAAATCGCCTCAACGTTACGGCCCTGGTCTTTCAGAAAATTGGCGTAGTTGTAGTGCACCTTGGCGTTGTGGGGCAGGGTCTTCACTCCTGAGCTGCGAAGAGGAACAGAAGCAGGACGGTGTTAGTGGCCAGGTTACCCCACCTTCCCCGAGGTCTACCTTCTTCTCACGGTCCCTTTTTCTGAAAAGTTTGCTTGGGTTTTGAGCGCCTTGTCACCTCCTGCGCACTCGTGCCAACACAATTCATGTTACAACCCAGGCTTGCCCCACGCACTGGCACACCATGTGCCCCAGGTAGACATAAATACATGGCAGCAATTCAACTCCTCCTGGCCGCTGTCACCGCAGGCACCTCTAGCACCAACACTGCAACACTCCCTGCGGCCAGATGCTGTCCTATTTCAAAATCTGAATTATTAAATTGAAAGACCCTAAAAAGGCTAATATTTAGAGGGGAAAATTCGTAGTACTTTCTATAATATAGCCAAAACAGGCTCCCTGCTTAAACTTGAGTGTTACAAAGTACCTTACGAAAATCTTGATTTAAATCTGTCGGCTGGAGGTACCAGAAAGAAGGTACCTTTTCCATGCGCATCAGCCACTAGAGGGGACGCGTAGCATACTCTGAGTACCCAGCCAGCACGTATGCACCGCTTAGCGCTGAGCAGAGTATGGCCAGGAGGTGAGGGCTAATGGGACTCTCACCCTTAGCTGGCAAGTTGTACGGTCTCACGTTGTAACATATGACTGTGGGCATGTGGCTGCACAGCCACCCCATCCCTCCCCTTCATCTCCCCTGCCATGCAGAGTGGACTCAACATTTGGAATAATAATGAGGGCACAAAGACAAAAGAAGAAGAGCAAGCATATGCTTATTTACTTAACTGAGAGCACAGAAAGCAAGGTACACCTTGCACAGCTAGAGGAAATGCCATTTCAAGGTTAGAGAGAGAAAAAAATCATAGGAGCACGTACGCCATGGAAACACTTCCCCTGCAAGGATCCAGAGAAGTCAGTACTCCATTTAATGGGGAAATCCTTTCCAGCACATAAATAGGGGCTCTCTAAGGTAATGGGAAATAAGGATGGATGAATCTGTTCACGTAAAAGCAGACAAAGCGCTGTTTCTTGCTCACAAGCAGATCCCTGTCTTTTCTGCCCCCATCATCTCTGACCCTCCTACCCTGGGTAGGAAAAGCAGGGATTAGGAATTTCCCAAGTGTTGTTGCTTTGCCTTGTCTGTCTCTCCTGTTTAACTTTGGTGGGCATGGAAGTTGATCATGGTGAGACAGGGTTGCACACAGCCCCCACAGTGGGGTGCATGCCCTCTCCCGTGGGGAGAATGCACCCACAGCTGCGGAAACCTTTTGTTGGGGATTTCATTGTAAAATGGTGCTGGAGAAGCGTAGTGGCAAACATGGTATCTTTTTGGTTATCTGCAGCCAGTGGTATCAAGCATCACTAGTATCTACTTGTGAGAGCTTCTAAAGCTTCACCCACGGCTGCCTTACAGAGTTTAGCACAACATAGCCACGGTTTGCCTACTGAAATTAAAAATACACCTTACATTTGGCTTCCTAATCATCAGGTATTTCCAAATTACTTACCGGGAGCACTACAGGCATAAGACATTTTGTGACTAATCGCTGAATTAAATCAGTTAATTGATGCTATTCTTAAGAGAATGATTTTCTGTATTAGTTTTCACAAAGATATACTGCACCAGCAGCAAGTAAAGTGTGACTGCTATGGCTGTGTTAATTTCCCTTGGCCTTGGGAGCTATTAACTACACACTTACAACCTCTGGGCATTACTGGAATATTAATTCTTATACAGAGAGGGTTTCATTACATCAGCGCCAGCGTTACAGGCAGAGACACGGACAGACGCTCAAAACTGCTGCTATCTCAGAGCTATGCGCAATGAGTTGCTGTCTCTGCTACAGCCCCTGCTGAAACAGAGCAAACTGAGTTAATGGTGAGGAGTGCATTACATATGCACAAGTACTTCAGTTCTAATGACATACGGTTTTAACAGTAAGATGCATGTTTAAATATTTTAATTCTGGACTGTTTCCCTTAAGTAAAATTTATTATTAAACCTGCTATTAAACCGGTCCCATTTATTAAAACGTCACTAATAAAGCTTCCTTCATCTGTGTGCTTCTGCTGGGGTGGGGGTGAAATAGGAAAGACAGAAATCAGTTTGGGTTCTTATGATGCTCTCTTCTGCATCACGTCGCTTGCACTCCCTGACCTATTTATTCTCCTCGCACGGGTGGGGCGGGGGGTGTTTCATTTTGCAAATGCACGTAGCAATGACTGAGGCTGCTTGGTGTCTCTGCACGGTGGGAGGTAGTAGCAAACATAGCGCTGGACGCGGAGGGGATTTTTTAGGAGAGTTTAGGCAAACGCTCCTGCTAATTGATTCTTGACCAGACAAGAATGCTGTTTGCTCATTGACAGGGGAAACAATAATGTCCATAATGAAAGCCAAGCAGGAAAGGGTGGAGTATAAATAACAAAGCAGAACACAATGTTTTTCCATTTCTGCTTCCTGCAAGCCCCCAGTCTCTCACAATTTCAATCTAATTTTCCAATGTGCTTTTCCAAACTCTCCTATTTCCCTCTTCCCCAGCCCAGCACACACGTGCCCTTCTGAAAACCTATGGCACCGATCTGGCTCCAGCCAGAAACAAGCCCACCGAGATCGGACGTCATTTCTCCGGAGGATTTCCTTCCCTTTTGACTTCTACGACAGCAGTAAGCGACATAAATGGAAAATAAACAATAGGCAAACCCTTTTACGTAACACTTCCTCTCCATTGAAGGGCAAAAGCTTATTAGCCATAAATCAGAGAAATCAAATACCACTGGTATTTTCCAACCTCAAATACCAGCATTACCCAAATCCCACTTCAGTTCGGAAAAGTCTCCTGTGATCCCCTCTGCTGTTTTTCTAAGTGCATGTTCTGCTCTGCAAAGTGACTGGGTGCAGGCAGAGGCTTCACTGATTTTCTGTGATTTCCATATGAAAAGTGCTCAGTTTACAAGGAAATGAGGCCACCCCTGCCTCAGCCGGAGCCCTGGGAGACCGATGGGGTCTCCTCTGCTTAGGGAATCATTATCATCAATTAAGGTTCTCTACAGCAAATTATTCTCTGGATGACACAAACAACCGCTTTCCTTGGCCTCCTACCCTTGTATTGATTTCACAGATATCAATGTTGCACCGTATTAAGCTATTTTATAGAAGATGCACAAAATGCAATAGGACTCGTTCTCTTCAGCTTTCAGAATTAACAAAAGCACGCAGCAGTAAATGCCACCTTTGGGGCTGGGTTGGTTTTTGCAAATTACTGAAGTCAGCAGACCTGGCTCGGGAGGAGAAACTGCTGACAGAGAAAGTGCCACTTTCATGCAGTTCCTTTGCTGGTTATAACTGCATTTCCAGGCACCATCACAAACGTGGGCAGTGAATGCAGCTGCTTTCCAGGAGCAACAGGAAACATGGCAACTTGACAAACCTTGAAAAGGTCAGTACAACAGATGCA